CTGCAATGCCAATGCAGTTATTAGTCTGGGCGACCGCACTGCCCAGCGCAGTGGGTACCATGGCGAAGGACATCAGTCACATTGGTATTGTTCTTGGCGAAGTTGAATCCAATAGACCCGTCAGCTGGATTTCTCCAGAATTGATTGACCAGATCAGGATGAGTCGTATCAACCCCCGTGTCAATGACGGCCAGCACAACATCTTTCAACTTCAACTTGGCAGAACGAGCCGCTCGCCAGGCAGCTCCCAGGTGAATGACTTCGAGATAACGCTGACAAGAAGAGCCGGGGTCGTTGGTGCCGAGAACAGGATTGCCACCAGTACAAGTAGCTGAGGCTTGAACCATACTGGGGATAGGATCCAGGATGATCTTCACATCGGGCTCGCAATCAAATTCGATGCCCAGCAACCCTGCGGCTTTTTTCAAGTAGTTCAGAATACTATTGTGATCAACTGAGCATGTCGACTCTACAATCTGGACCCCTATTGCCTTCAAGACATAGACCATACCATCCTGCGTGAAGCATCGTTCACAGTCGAGGTCGTCTTGGCTGAGGAAACGTTTCCTTCCAGCAGATGCAGTCACTGCCTGCGCAACCATATCCGGTAGAAGACGAACATTGAGTGAGTTTCCGCGATGGGATACCCTCAACAGGGTGCGTTGGGAGGCTATCACATATAATAGGACCGTCGATAGTAATGCCGAACGTGCGAACAACATGATGCTATGAAGGGATATTCCTGAAAATAACCGTATTCGCGCGATTGCAGATCACAAGGTGCCGGTATTATTCGAGCCTGGCTGGAGCCGACTCGGTCCGGAACGTGATCCGCGTGGTAACAGTAACGATCGCACAAGCGCCTACAAACAACTACATCCTGCAAATGTATGCCACTTTAACAACATTCACAGAATTAACGATTACAATAGTCGTAACAACTATGAGATTGTCGCTAACCTTCTTACGGAGGTTGTCTCGTCACCCAGATACGATAACATGAACATGGCATAGGCTTCAAGCGTGCGAGCGGCATTACTTTGCGGCGCACAATGTCTGTGCGTTGTAGGATTCGGACAGAGTTTAGCTAATTGGTGGTTTCAGTGCTCATATTAGCCAACACAACCGAGAGGGACCTTACTATGAGTATTTGGATGCAGTAGCGAGATGAAGATGACAATGAGAGGCGCTAAGAACTGGGACGATGAGCAGCTAACAATCAACCCGTGCCCAGTTGCCACGCGACCAGATTCAGCATCGCACGCGTGACAATCACAATGACCGTATTATCTGTTCATCCGCTGCATTCGAATTCATGCACGCTGGAGCCCCTGTAATTCCCCGAGACAACCCCGAAATACACCCTTTCCGCTTCGCCTCGAATAGTCACGCCTCGATATACTGACGCCTCCTACGGGCGACGCCAGTTGGGCGCGTAGTGTCTTGGTGAAAGAACGTCCATCTGTTTCGTGTTGTATGTCCGATCTCTACCCCAGATCACTGCAACTTAGACCATGCTTCGATTGCCGAGAATCGGCAATCCTCATACGAAGTATGATGTTAAGATTTTAAGATTAAGGCCTTAGGCCTATGTTATACTGTGATGAGATTGTGTTAGTGTCTCCTGTGTATTTATGTAGCTAGTATCTCAGCGTAAGCTGGCACTACTTTTAGTTATCATACTTATAATTATAAGACCTGTTAAGGATCGGTTTAGTAGTGAGCGTCACCCTCGGGCTGCTCATGAACACAGGTTCCCAAGACAAAGACGAAACCTGCTCTTATCTTAGAGGAAGACAGTGCGAGACACGCTCTTAGCTATGCTCGACGCTAAGCAATGCTTAGTAAGCATGAAAGGCGCACAGTTGCGCTGTCTACTAAAGGTATCTCGCTGTGGTACTTCAGGACAGAAGTGAAGACTAAGTGTCTTCAATGACTCTGTGTAAGCTGTGTTGTGGTGATTATTTCTACTCACTATAGTATGTGAGGTTATCAAGGAATGATATCCACCGGGCTTGGAGATTTTTCCCCTCCGAAAAACGAGTTTCTCAAAATATGATCGAGAGTTTCGGTGGTAACATTCCACCATTAGGAAGTCATGAATTATTCCTTATCCACTGCTGGAGACTACCATAGACCGGCACCACTTTACATTGTAAAGTTTACAATGGAAAATGAAGTCCGATTCTGAGTTTCACGAACGGCCTACTCAACATTCAATATATTTGCAACTTCGTTGTACGGCCGTCTGATCAATGGGCGTCATAGAGGCAGCGGTCTTCTCCCCAATGTGATACTGTCCCGTCAAACGCAACCTCAACGACTGCTAACAGAAACCATCACACTTCATACATGAAACTTTCCCTTCTCAATTCCGCAAGCTCATCTAGCAAGCCTTCGAGCTCCGTCAGGTCCTCTACGAAAACAACTTCCAACCCATCCTTTAATCCATCTTCTATCGCCTTCCACTCCGCCTCGTTCGCTTTGGGTAACACCGCCACTTTTAGCCCTCCCAAACTCGCAGCCACCACCTTCTCTCGGATACCACCAACGCCCTCTACTCCTCCACTCAGCGTTATCGCCCCCGTGAAACCAATCCCATGAGGAACCGTTCGCTCTCGTCGCTGCGCCCAGAACAGTGCCGCTAACGCTAGGCCCAGAGAAGGACCGTCCTTCCTTGCTGGGACATCAGGGCCAATATTGACGTGCATAGGATTAGTGATCTTGCTCCAACTTGCCGCTATCCTGACAGTCTCCTGCAGCGTCACTCCCACCTGCCCCGTTATCAACCACTCTGAGCTCGGCAGGCACTCTACTTCCAGCATCGTCCCGCCGGCCTCGGTCCATCCCAAACCAACCACCGATGCACTCGAGGGAGAGATACCACGCGTCCAACGATTTCCAGGGTAGGTTGGCAAGCCCAGCCAATCGACGAGACTCTCTTCCGTAACTCTCATAGGGAGCTCCTCCGTCCCTTCGCAACACCGAACCACCGCGCGCCTGAAAATTCGCCATAAATTCGTCTGCAACTCTCGGACTCCCATTTCTCGACAGTAAGATTCCACAATTCTTCGCAGTGCGCAGTCCTCGATAACTATAGTATCATTCGAGATACCGCATATCTTTTCGCACTCAGGAATCAAATACTCCCGCGCAATTCGTATCTGCTCTCTCCCCACGAATCCCGCGAGCCTGACCACGTCGAAACGATTTGCGAGAGCCGGCGGAATTCGCTCACAGTCATTCGCAGTCGCAACGAAAAGTACTCGAGTTAAATCGATCGGAATTTCGTTGCCGACGAAATTGTCTGTTGAAATTGAACTGCTCGCCCCTCCCCCGAGTTTGTCAATTTCATCGAGCAAAATAACAGGGTTCTTGCTCCCGCTCGCAATCAACGCTGATAGCATCTTCCCCGGTTGACTTCCAATATAAGTCAGGGTGGCTGAAGGGTGAGGAAGAATCATTCTTCCCTTCCCCAATAATTCCCGTTTTAGTTCCCGGGAATAATGACTGGCCAAAAAGGGGAATAATGGACCTTATTTGGGGAATTATTGTACAAAATCGTCTTTTTCTCCAACATCACCCTAAAAGAAGGTCCGAAAGACATTCATAGGCGTCTAAGACGCCGCGTCTCAGCAGACCTTATCGGCCGTAAGGCCAAAAAAATACGAGATTTCTCGCATCCTGTCACTTTTTTTGATATCGAACGTCAGGGCGAGCGCGTGCAAGATGTTCGCAATTCGCAAGTTGCAAAACAGGCCAGTAACTGGACGCCAGTTACGTTGCATTCATACCTCACTGGTCCCAGTACCTCATCGTGGTGTGGAGGACCTCCACTGGAGGTTACTGGATGGTAAATTCTAACAAGATCGAAACTGGGATCAAGCTGCCACCACTTACATGCTACCCGGGTGATTTCACTTTTGCAATTCGCTGTTTTGCAACGGTTGTGGATATAATACGAGATTCGCAACATTGTTGCGAAACGTCCGACAAGGACTCACTAATGCAACATGATTGCTGCATTATGCAACTTTCGGCGAGTTGCTTTGATGCGTGTTCTTTGTGCAACGGTTGCGAAAATGATCGGGGTAATGCAACGCGAACGTTTGGGCCAAAGTAGCCAAATGGTTTGGCTATTTTGGCGAAAGGCAGGAAGATGATTGTGATCTGCAATTCGCAAGCGCCCTTCCCACATCATATTGTTATCCGTATTACAATGCAACACACTCTTATGTAGGAAAATACGTAACAAGACAGCATATTACAGTAATGATTTCAGACTTTCGCAATGGAACACGAACATTTGCAACACATTTCTAAGTTTTTGCAACACGCTTCCGCGGTATCACGATGTAATATAAAATTAAACAAGTGTCAAAGTATAAAGTACGGCTTCTCCTTTTGATGTGTAGCAGTGTATGTTTTCTGAGAAAATCGAAAACTCTCCTGTTCTCGCGACCTGCCTCAATCACTCATAGAATAGTGTTTGAACCATGTCGCATCTACCAAATAACTGCAGCAGCGACAATGCGGCTGAAGTTTAGTTGCTAATCAGACGATGCCTGTAGAGTCTAGCTCACTGATCCAAACATACTAACAGTAAACTGTCAGTATATTTGGATCAGCGGAATCTTAGAACTAAACGTACTACGTTTAATTCCAAGATTCCACTGCGGAACAACCGCGTTCTAATCCCAGGATCAGTTGCTGGATCCCTGAGGAACCGTATCCTTGATTTACGCTAAAACACTCATCCCGCCGATGTAATACTTTGCAATTGACGTCAACAGGACCGATGCGACCTTCCCCACACGATAAGGCTTGTTCAAGGCGAATGTGAACTGGATCAATAGAAGTGGTGCAAGGTCAACAAACGTTGCTTGACAATGGTCGTTGAGTTTGTGCTAACTGGGTTATGCAAAGCGACACTCGAATAATATCCCAAGAACCATCCCAAATTGGGATTCCCAATAACGAAGAACGTCGACCATCCCAAGAACGCAACTTGTGTAGTTGCTAATGATAAGGAGGGCATGAGGTTGAGGAAAGGAGACTACTCGATGAGAAAATTATGAACTACGCTACTACAAAATAATAGTTGACTGAGAGCAGGAATAAGTTCAACTAGTGTAGTGACTAGATGCTAGATTCTAGTCGTGAGATTCATATATATTATCACGCACAGTTGCAGCGATATGGGGAGGGAGAGAATCGAGATCTATGGGCTTGATTGGCATTGTATCCGTCTTATTTTTTTTCAGCGCAGGACCCCAATACTGCGGTCGTCCATTCTTGCGTAGAACACCATCTGCTATCCTACGCTTACCGATTGGAGGTTGTACCGCATTGGTAGAGCTCTGAAGCAAAAATGTAGCTACCATGCTATAGTAGCTGTAGCGACCACAGTGTAGTCCAGTCGAGGATGAGTACTCACTCTTGATGATGCATCCATCTGTTGCGATGGTGAACTGCCATGTAGCAGTGAAGACGTGTTGTGTGTGACTGCATGGCGTCCAAAGACTGCTGAGCACTGCTGAAAATGGGGACGTGAATTGAATCACCCGTAGGGTAGAGAGCACTTACTTGAGAGTTGCTTGCACCTCTAATAGTCTCCACAATCATTGCAACGTGATGACACTGCCCGCTTTGGCAATAAGCCATACACTGGCACACCCATTGCTCGCATAACCATCTCACAGAGTAGAGAGATAGAACTGATGTATCCCAGTCTCTCAATAGCAAATGATCCAGACTGTGGAACTTCTCAATGTCAGTGCTCATAAGTTTCTGCTGGGCCCGACCAGCCGAGGCCACTAGATACATTTCTTCAGAGACTCGTATCGATGAAGTGGGTAAGCGAGTCGAAGCCCGAGAGATACTGCTATCAAGCAGGGTAAGCCTGACAGTGTCGTACTTAGTGAAGGTTCCTCGTTCCAAGTACGCATCGAGTATTGTCGATATCTCAAGAAAGTGGGTATATACCTGAGGATCTCAAACTGAAGTGAAAGGACATATGGTGAAGCATGTATCGAGCCGTAAACCTTGACCTACCTCGTATCCAGAAGCCATTCGGCGTCCTAGCTTGCGCTTAACGACAGCATTGAATGATTCACTGATGTTATTATCGAGTGACATCGTCAATAAGTGTGGCTGTCGGACATCATCGTACCATACAGGTGAAAGATAACATGTGCCGAAGCGCTCTTCTGATGAGGTCTGTAGATACTTGCGCAGCCTCGTTGAGAAAGTCTTCGTGTCAGCTAATGCACACTTTAGGATACCCTTATGAACCATTGGATCACCAGAGCGCTCCAGCATTTCACCGATCGATTTTGCTTGAGCTCTATCAACAGCAGTTAGCTTATCTGCCTTCGCAATGGATTGCTCTCTGTGCCACCTGCAACGGTGTACCATTATGTTGCCGAAAGTATCGCGAAGCGCTTGTACAGCAGCGACATCGGCATCCACCACGGCACCACCTATTTTGATATCCAAATCAGCCACAATCCTCTGAAGCAAGTTTTTGAAGCAGCCAAACGCACTTCCCAGCGCAACTTTGTTCTCGGAATCGAGCAGACAGAATAAAACAGGGCATAGGCTCGTTCTGAATGGCTGATCACCTCTTGCACCAGTCGTCAAGCTCACCTTGGAGACTCCAATAGTATATGTGGTTGAGTCATTACCTCTTACAACGCTAGGCTGACCATCACAATAGATTGTAATGGCAGATTTCTCCTTTGCAGCCGCCTTAGCATAATGATAGAGACTCTCAATACCAGCTGTAGGGCACACGGCAATACAATAATGCTCAGACCCAATCATGCTCCCAATGTGCACCATGCCTGGCTTCAGACTGCTCCCATCCTGCAATAGCTGTAAGCATTTGGCCCAATCAGTTTCGGCCCACGAATGCCGCTGTGCAGTTGTTCGTGAGAACTCCTCCACACTCTCGAAACCCTCCTGCCTCATCTGTCTAATCTCTCCCTTCTTAATGTGGCCTACATGCTTCTTCAATCGCCTCCGATACTCCCGAGCACTCTCGTCTTCACCACTCGGATAATTGATTGGATGCGGGGCCACGAATTTGGCATACAAATCTCCTGCCGTAGTATTTCGATTGGCACGAACAGCCAACTTGATCTTAGCACGAACATCAGCAGCTAATTTTATGGTCGAAAAACGACTCAGGGCGGAACCTCGAGCGACTTCGGAATGTGATTTATCGTTGCGGAAAATCAGAACCTCCGAGTCAATGGAGTCGATGACAGCGCGCAATCGGACACCACAATTATCATGATCTCGACACTCCAGGCTCTTCATAGTAACATCAGCGCCCGTTTTTCGAGTATTCTCAACTCGAAGATTACTACAATCTCCCATAGACCCCGCGATTCGATCAGCCAAATCGTTGACCCGGTTGAGTGACTCAGTTCCATTCAGTTCCTCCTCTTGTAGCTTCAGCGATCCGATGTAGCTCCAGTTGCCCCGCCAGTTGCTAGGCGGCAACCTCCCTCCGACGTTGACCTGAACCCGAGAAAGATCGGATAAATGCCAAGTTGCAGCTCAACGAGATTGTCGTTACGAGTCGTAGGACGTTGTCTAGATGATAATGAAGAAAAAAATCAAGTTCAACGAAGTCTACTATCAAGGGATGACTCAATTTAGTTGATGATGATATCCATAGTTCTACTACACTGGCTCGTTACCAACGACTCGTTGGCTCCTGTTTCTTACTAGGAAGCAGAAGCCAGCGAGCCCGAAAGACGAAATTGTTCCAGACGTAGTTTCGCTTACCTGTATGTTCGCAGGTGCAGATGCTTGAGCTCCGGAATCTCGAGCCGAAATATCATAATCACGAGCACCCATTGTGTTCGACTCGTCCCATTCCTTCCAGGACCATCCACTCCAATCATCGTACCACGAATAATCTTCCGCATTGCCACTTAATCCATTCGACCACGACCATCCATCACCATGCCAAGCCCATTCGTCAGCGCCGTTCTCGACTGAGTACCAGTCATCGTAGTTCCAAGAAGGAGCGTCTCCTCGACTCCAAACCCATGATGAATTATCTCCATGCTGCTCTCGATCCCACCATTGTCCTCTATAGTGAGCAAAATCCGGTTGATAGGTCCAAGAACAACTATGATCCTCCCTAGCGCCATCCGCGCGGTTATCATGCCCACCAGAATTACTGCGGTGGCTAGTCCAATGCGAGGACCAAATAGGTTCGCCGTGACAACTTTTATCCATGGGAAAGTTGAACGAGTCGATAGAACTACACACACGGTATCTGAAGAGTGATTGTTTAGAACATTCACGATAACGAGCTATTATTCAGCGAGCTCGAGAAGTGAAAGAGAAGCTTCCTGAGAGTCCTCACTAGTTATGACTGAGAATTACATTCGGTTCTCACGTGATACGTGTTGCACGAAGTTCTTTGGTCCCGAGTGAGGGTGCCCGTTTGGGAAGTGCTTCAAAATACACAAATGTCAAGCTATAGGAATTAAAAAGCTATCATGATCGACAATTTTTCAACCAAAACATGTGAAGCCATACTTTCAATTGTGAGCCTCAAGTTCGATACTGATAAAAAGATAAGGATGCGTAACATTTTTAGGTTTGAGAGTCCCGTCCTACAGCATAATCAATTCCATCCGTTGTCCCGTCTCCATCCGAATCTGCTTGCATCGAGTATCGTTGTCGTGAAGCGCCCAGGTGATTGCGAGGTTCATCACATTGTAACAAACCATTATCAACCCGAGTGCAACTGTTAAGAAACACGATGTAAAATCTGTCGAGGTCATGTGTCCCGATTCGAAGGCAGTAAACGCGTTCACTAAACATGAAAA